GGGCATTCTCACGGATATATAAATAACCGTGGACACAATTACAACCATCAATTAAAATAATCACGTATACAAAACATGATCAGTATCACAAACTCCGCAGATACATCTATTTTCTAGTAAAATACCACAATACACCGACCTAATTTTCTTTGAAAAGTGATCATAATTTCTAAAATAAGATGAAAGAGAATTTGAATAGATGAATGATGGATCAATAGGGTCTCTGGCCGATGTAGTTACCAGGAGGATCATAGTTACAAGTCATGAAGATTCCACCATTGTTGCATACCACACGTGCGCATCCGACTCTCCTCGTGTTTTTCCAGATGATCTGTGTGTAATGCCCACACATCTGGCCCCTGTCGCACGAGTTAGAGCCGTAATGATAAAACCTCTTCTCGCTCGCCCACGCAACCACCGCGTCTGCCGGAGAGAAGTTGGCACCGTATCCCCAATAGATGTTCTCGCCGAAACCAGACCTTCCGTTTGGGGTAGAGTGTCTCAAAGCACAATCTGAACTTCTTTGACCGGCCCACCATTGAGCGTAGTTCTGGAGTCTGCGGTCCCATATCAATGGAGGTTCGAATCTTGTGGCACGGACCAAGTTGTGTCGGAACAAGAACTGTAAGGATTCGTGGTCACATCCCGGACACAAATTCCTACAGATTTGGAATACACGACTCAGAGTTATCGCTTTGGTTGTTGATATTGAAACCAAGAGATTAATGGCACCTAAGAGTAATATTACTCGAATATGGGATGAGTTCATCCTTTTATTGTTGATGAGATCTTATTGTCTTTTAGGCGCTAATGGTTTCGGAGGTTCAAGTGTTTTATTTGAATATATACAGGGAAAAGAAAAAGGAAAAGAATTGGTGTTGGAATTGTATGGACACAAGTTTAAGATTATTTTTTTAACCGTGTAACGTGGATTACCAATGTGAGGGATGGCTTTGTTTGGCAAATTGTAAAATTGACAAAAAAAAAATGATTGGATAAATATGGATTGTATCAGTGGAGGCATGATTGTGTTATGTGTTGTCCGTGAACGCTAATGGTGTCCGTATTAGTTAGGCTCATATGGAAAAATGGTGGATCGTCATGGTATGTCAACATGCAAATGATAATCCGGGTCGCGTAACCTTTCGGATCTTCCAAACAATCTAAAAAAGTAAAGTTTCTAAGAATAATAGTTCAAACAATCTAAAAAAGTAAAGTTTCTAAAAATGTTTTGGAGTAAAATCCTTCTTATCCTTACAAAACGTGCAAACAAAGAACCGCTCATCACACTTACGGATAGTAAAATCCGGGTTAAGAGCAGCCAAATCGTTGGGATCTAAACGAGTGATATCTCCTCAACGTGGAGATTGGGGCTGAGATGATGAAGAGCTGTGTTGATGTTCTCCCTCAAACTCGCAGCATTGTACACGAAACCGTTGTCATTGTCCCGTAGAGGACAAGTGTTGATGTCCCAAATCACGCGAACAGTGGTTTGCCTCTCCTCATGGCTCGTTCGCTTTCTATCTTTGAAGATCTTATGGATGTCACGTAGCCTGAGACTTCCAACTGGAACGAAGGTCGACGACGATTGAGGTGCTCGTGATGATGACATTTTATCAAGAAATCGAAAGAGAAAGGTGAGAGATGAGGGAAATCTTATGAAACACGAATTAGACAATTTAAAACGGTCTGGTATAAAAGTATATAGCATTAGCAAGACCTTTGGTTGAACCAATGAATCGCAAGCTTAACCGATCCAATGTCACAGGTTTTACGTAAATTTCCAAAAGAGACTGGTAAGGAAGTATCTAAGAAAAAATATGGGAAAATCATGAAATTTTCTCTTTGTATCCAAAAATATCAGCTTGGTTCGTCTTTTAATCAGATCATCTCAAAAGATTATCAACAACTTTTCAGATAGAGTTCTTTGTCATTTCTGCTTCAAGCCAAAGAAAGTCACAGATGCGGTCCTAGGTTTTGACAATACCTGAAGGAGTGAAACCATGATTTCAAGCATTATCTTACTTAAGACTACATTGGATGCTTTGCCTCTGCTTGCTAAGGTGTTTTATTTCTCATTTTGTTATTAGATTTTTTGCTTGATTTGGTATATATGTCTGTGACATCTGTCCCTTACCAATCACGCCATGTCCCATGTAAACATGCAGGTTCTAAAGGACGCAAAGTGTCTTCTCCTGGCCAGTGTTTACAAGTCCGTGTGTGAAAATGAATGATACATAATACTTCCACCTGAAAAAAGTAAATCTTAACTATGGTCTTATTTTCCATTTCCTCCGTTGAAGGCTTCTTAGAATTTGAGTTTGCAAATTGCTTGAATCTTTTCCTCATGTCCTATCAGAGTCGGGGAAAGTTATTGACGATGATGCCTCCATATGCGGGTTCCTTTTGTTGCCCTCACACTACAAGAAAATAGGCCCTAAACCGACGGAATTTCCGACGGCAGGCATTTCCGTCATAAATTTCCGACAGCATACCGACGGTTTTTCGAAGAAAATTAATCCGTTGGAAATCCGTCGGTTTATTTTGACGGATTTCCGACGGCCACCGTTTCCCTCGGTATTCCGTCGGAACAAGACGACGAATTTCCGATGGAAATAAGCTGTCGTAATTTCCGATGTCGGCAAAGTTTGATTGGTCAGCTCATACCGACGGGACTAATTCCGTCGGAATTCCGTCGGAAATTCGATGTCAGCAAATTTGAGTGGTTACCATTTCGTTGGCGGTGGCTGATGGGATTGGTGGGGTGTTATGTCGGTGGTTTCTGACGGATTTCCGACAGATTTCCGTTCTATATAAGCTACGATATTTCTACATTCGTTCATAACACAATTGTAAAAAACCAAAAAATTTGTTAGCGATGAGTTCATATTTTCGGTCTTGGATGGACGAGCCAATGATGGATATG